TCAGCAGTTTGTTCTTCACCTCCTGGTGCAGCTCGCTCACCTTGTCCGCCTCCGTCATGATGGCACCCCAGGCCCGCTCCAGGCTGCCGTACTGTGGGCCTGAGGAGATGGCCATGGGGTCCCGAGGACTGCATGATCCCCTGCCTGGAGGCCCCCCTCGCACCACCCTCCTCCGCTCTCCCTACAGTTTTCTCTATCCTCCAGGGCCCGAGTACGGCCACCTCCGCCAGAAAGGCTTGTCTGCCTGCTCTGTCACACACCTCAGCCTGCAGCCCTCACTGCATTCTCACACATCTGCCTCTCTGTCTCCACCCTATCTTCCCTGTCAGCTTGTGAGTCCCAGGTGGGTGGGGGGAGGGGGGGGGACAGCCTCAGCCCTGTGAGCTCTCACAAGCCCAGGACAGCACCAGGCACACAGTAGGTACTCCAGGAATGTTGGCTGAATGCAAAACCGAAGAACCAACTGGTGACAGGTCCAGGAGGCTACTGGGACCAGACATCCCACAGTCTGTTCCTCTGTATACTGGCATCAACTCTGTGCCAGGCAGTGTACTAGGCAGTATAGGCCCAGCCCTAGCCCTCATGGAATTTGGAGTCTAGTGGAAGAGAAAAAACATTAATCAATATATGTAAACTTCAATTTGAAACTGTTCTAGATTAAAGGAATCTAGCGACATGACAACGAAATGCAGTATCTGATTCTGAATTGGACCCTGGGCCGGCAAACAATGGCTATAATAAAACTTGCATATGGGCCGTAGTAGATGTCCTGAATTTGATAGCTGAACCATGGCTACATGAGTGAGTGTTCTTATTCTCAGGAGATAGACGAGGAATTTAGGGTGAAGGGGCGTGTCTCCAACGGAAATGTTTTAAAAAACACGCATATAAATAGGGGTAAGACCAAGGTGGTAAAATGTGAACTGGTGAATCTGGGTGAAGGGTATGTAGTTCTCTTCTATTCTTGTAACTTTACTCTGAGTTAAAATTATTTCAAAATACAAAGTTTGGGGATTTTTTGTTTGTTTGTTTTTATATCCAAACAAGAACTGTACAAAGTGGAGCTGAAGTGCAGGGAGCCCTGGCTTGGTCTGGGAAGGGAGGGGTGCAGGTGTGGGGACAAAGGCCCTGCGGCTGGAGGCTGCAGGTGCATCCAGGTGGCTGGGTGCTCCCAGGATCCAGACAGTGGGGTTAGGGTCCGGGGTGTGCGCAGGGGATGGGCACGGGCTCCCTCTCTTGCACCACCACCACCTCACCACGCTCCACCCCCGTGCTCCCTCGGCCTCCTCCTGTCCCCTCCTCTGGGACATACACAGTGCCATCACCTGCCAGACTCCCCCGCCCTGGCCGCCGCGTCCTGCAGGGGGCGCCCGCCACCACCATCCCAGGGCGCCTTGGGACCCTCTGGCTTTTCAAAGACTTGGCACCCTTCCTCACACCCCTGTCTATACACTCCCTCCTCACACTTTAAACACAATTTTGTGCTGCCACAAATACAGAAGGTTTTTTATAATTTGGACTTGGGCCAAATGAATTATTCATTTCATTCTTATGAGCTAAATCTATTTATATAGAGTCATAAGCATTGAGCTGAGCTGCAACTTCTTGACATAATATTATGTTTTGTAGACATCTCATTAAACACTTATTAATTTAGGTTTGGCAGTTTCCACTTTGGGTTTCATAAGCCAATAGAAAAGACATTTTCTGGGTTTCAAATATTTTGGGAGGCTCTGAAATACTGGCCTGTCTCCACTCCATTTCCCTGGGACCAGTGGTCCGCCTCTGCTCACTCCACAGGGGAGGGCCGGGGGGCCGCTGTGAAAGGCTGTGTGAGCCCACATAAAGTGCCAGGACTCTGAGCCAGCGCCCCCAGAGCAGAGGGCCAGGAGGGGCCTGTTCTACACCATGAAATACCAGGGGATGTCCCCAGGGGCAGGTGTGGGCAGGGGGCCCTGGGCTCAGTGGGTGGTCGTAGCCTGTTGGACATGGAGGGCTCTGAAGAGGCCCGAGGGGCTGGGGAGCAAGGCCTGAGGCCTTAAGGTGGCTGGAGCCTGGTCCTCCACAGCCAGGCCACGCCGTCTGGTCCCCAGGACCTGGGGAGTATCAGAGCCTCACCTCCCAGAAGCTGTCGGTGGTCTCCTCCGGAGCTAGGGAGGCCTCGTCGTAGGAGCCGGACATGGTGTGGCTGTGGCAGGATGGACAGGTGGGGAGCGGCGGTCAGCAGGCTGGGCTGCTCATGCGCTGGAGAGGAAAGAGATCCTGGAGATGAGGGACATGGTCCACATGCCCCACGCCAGGCCCGGGCCCGACTTGCTGGGGGGATGAGGGCTCCCCAGACAAAGCCTGGCATTGGAACCAGGACTTCCTGCCCGGGGACTGGCTCACCAACCGTCCGCAGCGTGGCCCCAGGAGTCTCCCCACAGTGCCCCTCGTGCCCACCTCCCACCTCTCACTCCATCTCCTCTCCATCCCCTCCCCCCCAACTCCATCCTCCAGCTCCAGCGTGGGCACCGCTCTCAGAAGCCCGCCCCAGCCACCAGGACATGGTACCTGCTGCTGCCTTGTGTTCCTGGACCCAGAGCTGAAAGTCAGAGCCACATAATCGCGTATTTGCTTTCTATAAATCTGTGGCTTGTTTCGTAGACACATAGATCTTCAAGGCCAGCGATCAGGCTTATCTCCATGCAGCCCCCTCACCCTCTCCGCGCCCCCCACCACCCCCGGCCTGACACCCTGTAGGACCATTAGAGCTCAATGAACTGCAGCTGGCATCTCAATCTGCCCCCCTCAGCACTGCCCACCCCGACCCAGGCAGGTCCTTGCACCAGGCCCGAAACACCCACCTAAGCTCCCCACCAACGTAGGGCCCCTGGTTCCACCCCCAAATCCTCCCCAAACGCCCCACCTGGAGCCTGGCCCAAGTTCCCTGGGAACTGGCTGCGAGCCCCTCCTACCTCCCCGCCAGGCTGAGCTCCTCCTGAGTTCCCTGAGCTGCGGGGCCCTCTGGCTGCCCTGTGCCCAGCCCCAAAGGCCTCAATGAGCTGCTTCCATGTCCCTAAGAGTCCCAGACATGCGGCTTCCTGGCCCGCAGGTCAGACTGCTGTGATCTGTGTGAGCGGCAGGCAGCTGCGTGTGGCCTGGAACTGTCGGCCGGCATCACGGCTGTCCAATCTAGGCCATGTGCTGCCCCAGGGCTGGGGCCGGCGCTGCCCTGCACCCACCCCCACCAGTGCTCACTGCCACCCAGGCAAGAATAGTTCAGTAGAGTGGCTCAGTCGTCAGGAGACTAGACCCAGAGGGCCAGGGGCCTGGTCTTCAAAGGGGCAGTGAGGCCAAGCCAGGCCTGGTCCCACTACAAGCTGACAGCCTGGGCCCAGGGTCACTTCCCTGGCTCTGCACTGTCACCGCAGGGACTGGGAACCCTGACGGATGAGGACACCTGGGGGAGTGCTGGCCTCCGCACGATTTAGCCCAACCCGGGGTCCGAGGACAGGGGCACTCACACAGGAGGATCCTGGGCGAAGGAGGTCCCTGCCCCTCTGGCCTGTCTCCCCACCTGTCCGGGGCTAGTGCTCTGCCCAGCCATCACCAGGGCTGCCTCCCTGCATCTCTCAGGCATCGACTTCGTT